CTTTAAACTAAACAAAACTTACTGCCACAGAGTCAGTTCTGACTCATAGCAACACTTTGGGACAGAGTAGAACTTCCCCATAGGGTTTCCAAGGCTATACAGCACATAACAACAACAACAAATCTTTACAGAAGCATACTGCCTCATTTTTCTCCCATGGAGCAGTTGGTGAGTTTGAACTGCCAAACTTTTGCTTTATCAGCCTAATGCTTTAACCACTACATCACAAGAGCTCATTAAACTGAACAATAAAGTGAGCTTATTGAATAAAGAATATTTGCCTTGGACATTGTGCTCTTTTGAAGAACTATCTATATGACACCAAATTGAAAACAGCAACCTGAATATCATATAGGAAACTTAGAGGGGCAATGAGTTCATGTTGATGGAGGGGAGGAAGAACAATTTTGAAAATGAGGGTAAGAATAGTTGCACAACTTGAAGAACGTAATCAATGTTGCTCAATGTGGAAATTATTGAATTGTGTTTGTTTGCTCTGTAAACAACAATTTAAAAAATCACAAAAGATAAAGACAGACTGTGAAGTTGTCTAGTTGTCCCAGATTAGAGGAGACAAAGGATACATGAGCATGAAATGCTTTATGAGATCCTGAATTGGATCTTGGATCAGAAAAGGGATACTAGTGGGTGTGATATTATGTATCAACTTGGGTAGGCTGTGACTCTCAGTGGTTTAGTAGACACGTGTAATCACCTTCTATTTTGTGATCTGAGCAGCCAATCAGTTGAAAGAGGAGTTTCTTTGAGGGTGTGGCATGCCTCTAGTATATAAATGGATGTTCTGGCAGATTGCTCTTTTTCTTAATCTTGCATTATTTTTATCACCTGACCTCTGGTTCTTGGGGGGGATGTAAGCCTGCAGAAGTTATTGGCCTGCTGCCTGACCTGCAGATTTTTTATTCACCAGCCCTGGGAACCAGATGAACTAGCAGAAGCCTCCAGCATGCCACCTGATGTGCAAATTTTAGGTCCATCAGTCCCTGCAATGACATGCACCAGAAGTCTTCAGCCTGTTGCCTGATCTGTGGTTTTGGAACCTGCTAGTCCCCACAATTGCATGAGCCACTTTCTCACAATTATGTGAGCCATCTCCTTGAAGTAAATTTCCCTATATATATATCTATATATGCTTGACTGCTCTTGCTCCTCTAGAGAACTGATACTAAGGAGTGGGTGTATTAGTTTCCTAGTGCTGCTGTAACATAAATTTAAGTGGGTGGCTTTAAAGAACAGAAATGTATTTTCTCGCAGTTCTAGAGGCTAAAGGTCCAAATCGGGGTCTTGGTCATGTCAAAATCCTTCATTGTAAATTGTTCCAAGCATTCTTTTATTCTTTGGCTTGTAGATGACCTCCCCCTCATGCCCTATATGTATGTGTGCCTCTGTTTCTAATTTATTCTTTTTATAACTCAGAAGTGATCAGAGTTAGAACCCACTGTCCTGAAAGAAGTGCAGCCCTCCTTGGAAGTGAGAATGACCAGACTTCTTACCTACTTTGGTCATGTTGTCAGAAGAGACCATTCCCTAGAGAAGGATATCATGCTTGGTAAAGTGGAGGGTCAATGAAAAAGGGGAAGGCCCTCAATGAGATGGATTGATACAGTGGCTACAACAGGAGAATGCCCTGCAACAATAGGCTCAGGTACAGCAAGGATTGTGAGGCTGGCGCAGGACCAGGCAGTGTTTCATTCTGTTTTATATAGGGTCACTATGAGTTGGAGCCATTTCAGCACCTAACACCACCACCACCACTTGGGTATGATCTATTTAACACAATAAAGAAAACTCTATTTCCAAGTAGGATCACAACCATCAGTACAGGGGGTTATGATTCTAACATATATTTGCGGAGGGATGTAGTTTCACAATTGGTGAGACTTATTGAATAAGATCTGTAAAATGGCTGATAGTATTACCCTTAATTTTGTAGTTTAGATAACTGTATTATGGCTATAGGAGCTCTGGTGGCATGGTGCCTAAGGCACTTGACTGCTTCTGTAGCGATACTGCCTCAGAAACCCAAGGAGGGGTCGCTATGAGTCGGATCTGACTCCATGGCAGAGGTTATGTTTGCATACTATGGCTATATAAAATTTTAACATTAAAGGAAGCTAGGTGAAGGGTGTATGAGAACTCTGTGTACTATTTTTTGCAACTTTTTTATAGGTCTGAAATAATTTCAAAATAAAAGGTTTTTTTGTTGTTTTTAAATCTTAGGGTCTGGGTTGTTGGGCATTGCTTGTGATGACCTCCCGTATCGAACCTGTCATTTCTTTTCAATGCCATGCTGCCCTTCCTACTTTCCAGAGGCCCTTGCTAAGTCTGGCATCCAGAAGATTCTCCAAGGCCCTATGGGGCTGTAGACTGTCTGATCACAGACGGCATGTCCTGTAGGGATTCAGGTGGAATTCTCACCTCCTTCATGAAGTGATGCCTCCAGGGCTGGACAGGAGGGTAGCTGTTTGCAGTCTGGAGCCACGCCTAGAAAGGACTGGGGCTGGATTTCCTGTCAGACTATGCTGGCCCAGGCCCAGACAAGGGAAACTCAGAGGAAGGGAGGTGGGGTCTGACAGACCTGAGGAGGGCTCCAGGGACTGAGGGAGGTGCTGAGACCCCAGTCCTGTTCTGAACATCTGTCCAGGGACTTCCTCAGAAACTGCTGATATTAGGCCTCAGCTTCCTGTTGCCAGGGCAGAGAGCAGTAAACTCAGACATGGAACACCCAGGCCTCAGAGAAAACGAGAGCTTGGTGGGGGGGGGTGTGTGTGGGGGGGAGCTGAACACATCAAAGTCACAAGGACACACACTCAGGCCCATTGATGCACTCACCAGTACAGCCAGGCCTTGAGAGAGACACAAAGATGTGTAGACTCACCCATAGGCATGCATGGTATGTGTGGGCATACACACAGTTCATGCAAACACCCTAGCACCCTGGCACCTGTCTCGATGACCAGGCAAGGGTGTGAGTCCCACCCTCCTAGAGGGCTAGGGGTGGTGGGACAGGGTGCAGAGAGAGAGAGGCCAGAGCAGGGACACTATAGTCAAGGCAGGTTTCAGGGAGGAAAGAGCTGAGTGAAAAGAGAGAGGGTGAAACTGGTGTGGTATCTGCTCCAGGGTATTCCCTGCTCACTGTGTCCTGGCTTCTATCAGTTGTTCCTCTATCTCTGAGCACCTACTTACTTTTGCTACTACTGTCCCACCTAGGCCTAAAGTTGGGGACAGAGTTCACAAATCCCGCCCCCCCAGAGAAGTGGCAACTGGGTTCTTGGGGGAAATGAAAATCAGAGGTCACAGGGCCCTGGCCCAGTGATGGAGGCAGAGGGGATCTGGAAGAACCCATGAGGCAACAGACCTAATGCTGGAACCCAGGATGTGAGCAACAAGGAAGGAGACTGGGAAGGTGCGTGAGTGGAGGCTCCCACAGTTCCATGACCCTGGCATGTGGAGACACTACCACAGAGAACAGGGTTTATTATGTGGTGCCCAGGGCATGGAGGGCTATCCTCACAGTGGCCCAGGACCCAGAGACAATACAGTTGCGTGGAAGACCCAGCAGCTCATCTTTGTCCTTTTCACAGCCTGGCCTGTGCTTTGCATGGGCTGTGTAGCTGCTGTGTGTACATCCATTTGGACTGCTGTCTGAAACTCAATTCAAACTAACTTAAACCAAAAAGAGAAGTGGTCATCTTACAAAACTGAAAAGGCTGAATGGCCCAGGGGAGCTCCAGGCAAGGCAGCCAGCAGCCCGCTAGATGCTGGCTCCCTCCTCCCAGCCCCCATGTTGGCTCCATTCTGTGCCAGCAGCCCTCAGTAATGTCCCTGCCCAGTTTCTCAAAGTTCTAAGAAACTTTCCAGAACTGAGGCTCACTGTCTCAAGCCAGCCTTTGTTGGGTCACATGCTCAACTCTGGCAACAATCACTGTAGCGGGGACCCCTCCCCCATTGCCACTCAGGGATCTGAATGTAGGGAGGGTCAGGACCACAGGAAAGTAGGAGCAGGGCCTGTTGGCTAGAGATGAATGTTGTGTAGGCAGAAATGTGGTGTCTGTTCCAGGATGAAAGCCCCAAGAAAGCAAAAGGTTCAGCAAGGCTGGGTGTACTGACCTGAGTACCCTCAGGGTGGCCTTGGGGCAGGTACCTTTACCTATTGGCTATGGCCCAAGGGTGGGGTGTCACATGTTTAAAAAGCCCATGCAGCTGTGAGGCTGGTGGGCATCTGAAGGTTTCTTGAAGGATGAAAGAATCTCAGCTGGGCCCAGAGTGGCCTGAGAGCACAGGGGAGCTGGGCAGGGTTTTAGAAGGGGAGGGTAGAGGGCTGAGTTGTATGTTACAAAACAAACCGGGGTGGGGGGGGATGGAGATAAGTCTGTGTGTGAGAGTCAGGGCTGGAAGCCAGAAGCTTTGACCTATGCCCAGGTGAGAGATGACAAGGGCAGGGAGGCACTTGGAAGGTGGTACAGGAGATGGGGAGAAATGAGTACATTCAAGAGAATGGAGCCTGGTGATAGGTGGGGGTGTGGGTTCTGGTAGGAGCCTCTACCTGAGGTAGGTCTTGTTTCCAGGGATGGTACTCAGGATGAGGGGGAGGTCTGAAGGATAAGTGGGGACCTGTTGGTGCAGAGTATGGAGGACACTGGAATGGTGTTTCCAAGGCAGTTGGACTTATCTTGAGGTGGGAGTGGGCCTGGGTGGAGAGGCTTGGACTCTGCCAGCACAGGGTAGGCATGGAAGTGACAGGAACAACTGGGAGGAACTGGCCAGGCTGTCCCCAGACAGCTGCTCCCCCCTGCCCCAGCTCTCTGTAGCCCTGGTTTCCGCTCTCAGCCTGGCCAGGCCCTCAGCTCTGCCTGCCATGGTCACACCCACATGCCCTTAGAAGGGCTGGGAGAGCTCAGACGCCATTCTTCTTCTGGCTCAGTCGCTGAGCTGTTAGTCTTCCCATGCATCAGCCCAGCCCCAGCAGAACTGCCGGCATCATGAAGGACGAGGTGGCACTTCTGGCTACTGTCACCCTCCTGGGAGTCCTGCTGCAAGGTGGGCTGGCTCCTGTCTGGGAGGAGGGTGGGTCTCAGGCCTCTGCAAGCTGCCTTCTGCCCTCCATGCCCTTGGGAGGTGCTAGAGGGTCCCAGGTCAAGTGAGAGGCAGGGGTAGAAGCCTCCAGCCCAAGCTCAGGATGCCAAGTCCCCACCTGGCTCTTCCAGCCCCACAGGAAACTAGGAAGAACCAGGGCTTGAGTTCTAGCTGAACCAAAAAACCAAACTCGCTGTTGTGGAGTCAGATCTGACTCACAGCAACCCTTCCTTGGGGGGTATTACTACAGAAGTAGATTGCCCAATCTTCCTTCCAAGCAGTAGCTGGTGGGTTTGAACCGCCAGCCTTCTGGTTAGCAGTCAAGTGCCTGAAGTGCTACGCCACCAGAGCTCCTAAATTCTAGCTGAAGGGCTTGCATTTTCCCTGGGTTGGTAAGGGGAAAGCCCTAGAAGGATGTCGGTAGGGTGAACCCTGCAGGATGTCTTCATGGAAACTTTGGGTAGGGGACTAAGGTTGAGACAGGTGGTGGCCTGCCCAAAGGGGACTAGCAGCAGAATGGAAAAAGGTCTTGGCCCTGAGAGCCAGTTGAGGTAGACATGCCAGGCTTGAGGTTGGGGGCTGGTGGTCCTTGGCCAGCATAAGGAACCCTGGAGGAGGGCAAGAGGTTTCAGGGCCAAGTTGGGCAACAAGGTTGTGTTGAGCTGTAGGACCTGGAGGGGTTGTCAGGATGAATGGTGGACTGGTGGTCAGTACAGAAGTGGCGCCACAGGGAAGAACTGTACTGGCACAGCCATCCCTCGGCACCCACTGTGCACCTAAGACAGAGTATGTCTTCAGAGAGCCTAGTACCAAAGGTACTAGGGCCACAAGGCTTGCAAGGGAGATAATTGGAGACATTAAGTATTGGGGTGTAGGTGTGAGGTAAGGCCTGGGCTGGGACTAAGAGAACCCTAGGGCCAGCCCACCTTTTGCACCTTCCCTATTAGAATGGTGGTGGCAGAGCCCTGGGATTCTGGGGTTAGTCCCAGTTGCAAGCACCTGGCAGGGGTGGGGGGCAGTGTTTGTCAGATTTAGACCAGTGTCCAGGACAGCTGAGGCAGGAGCCTGTGACAGTTTGGAGGCACAGGGACCCAGGCTTGATTGACCCTGGTCTGTAGCAGGGTGAGGTGGTCTCTACTGGTAGGCTCAGTAGGTGGGGCACCAGGGTACCTTAGCCACAGGGAACGTGCTCCCCTGTATCTCAGGAGATGTAGCCAACTCTGTCCTCAAGCCCTAGTGGCAACCCCAAAACTAAGGTTCATGCCTAGAGAGTCACAGCTGTGCATTTGCCTGTGTTTTGCAAGTCAAATGATTCCGGAGCAAAGTTCCAAGTGGCCTCTCCATCAGGCAGGTGTCCCTGTGCCCGCATCACACACTCCACTACACTCACTGGGCAGGACAGGGCCTCATCGCGGAGTTTGGAGAAAGGCAAGATTGGAGAGAAGGACCTGTAGGTCTTCGGGCCACCACATCTGACTCCCGCCTCCCCTTCCCCAGCCTACTTCTCCCTGCAGGTGATATCGGCGCGCCGGGCCTTCCGAGTGTCGCCGCCGCTTACCACCGGCCCACCCGAGTTCGAGCGCGTCTATCGAGCCCAGTGAGGCACGGGGGGGGGGGAGTGGGGGCGCGGGCCGGCAGCCAGCGAGCCTTGGGCGGGCCGGGGCAGAGAACTGGGCTCGCGATACCCTCATCATGCCCGCCCCCCCCCCCAGGGTGAACTGCAGCGAATACTTTCCACTGTTCCTTGCCACGCTCTGGGTCGCCGGCGTCTTTTTTCACGAAGGTCTGTCTGGGCGCGGGGCAGGGGGCATGCACTGGAGGCCGGAGCGGGTGCCGGCCAGCGTGCTCACCCTCCCCGCCGGCACCTCTCCCAGGAGCAGCGGCTCTATGCGGCCTTGTCTACCTGTTCGCGCGCCTCCGCTACTTCCAGGGCTACGCGCGCTCGGCTCAGCTCAGGTGAGAATCAGGGCGGGCTCACCCGAAGGGAAGTGGGACTGGGTAAAAGACCGTTCGTGGGCGAGCTCCCGAAGGCCGGGTCCTCCAGGGGATGGCGGCAACTGGTTGGAGGCTGGGCCCTGGCGGAGGGCGGTGGGCGGGCCTATTTCTGAGCCGAAGGCGGAGGAGCTCAGCGTGGGCGGGGTTCAGCTCCACCCCCGCTCCCTGCTGAGCACCGCCCGCAGGCTAGCTCCGCTCTACGCGAGCGCGCGCGCGCTCTGGCTGCTTGTGGCGCTGGCGGCGCTCGGCCTGCTTTACCACTTCCTCCCGGACGCGTTGCGCGCCGCGCTCCTGGGACGGCTGAGGACTTTGCTACCGGGGGCCTGAGACGAAGGACACCAGATCCGCGGAGATGGGAAAGATCCGGAGCTTCCGGGAGGACGGTGGAAGGGGTGGGGCAGAAAAGCTTGTCTCTGCATTCCTCAGTCTCTAATTAAAGTTCCCTTGACTGAACCCCGTCAGCTCTCTCTTGGTCATAGGAGGTGGCGCTTAGCGGACTGTGGACCCTGGAGGGACTCAGCCTGGGGTCGCAGTCGGAAGGGCTTTCCGGAGGCGGCGGGCGGGCCACTGAAGAAAAGAACCGCAAAGGGACTTGGGGGAGGGGCAGAGGCCTGGCACGGCGACGAACGATCTAGTTAGTAGTCCTCTTCCACTTTCTCCTTGCCCGGAATGCCCTTTCCCGCCAGGATTCACTCACGGCCCCTCCTTATGTTTGTTGTTTGCCGTCGAATCGGCCCTGACTCATAGCGACCCCTCCTTGGGTTTCCGAGGCAGTATCACTACGGGAGCTCTGGTAGCATAGTGGCTAAGGCACTTGACTGCTAACCAGAAGGCTGGCGGTTCAAACCCACCAGCCACTCCTCGGAAGGAAGGTTGGGCAATCCTACTTCCGTAGTGATACTGCCACGGAAACCCAAGGAGGGGTCGCTATGAGTCAGGGCTGACTCGACGGCACATAACGACAACAACATCACTACGGAAGTAGGCTTGCCCAACCTTCCTTCTGAGGAGTGGCTGGTGGGTTTGAACCACCAGCCTTCTGGTGAGCAGTCAAGTGCCTTATTATTACACTTCGTAGTAATAATCGCCTCGGAAACGACTCCATGGTAGTTGGTTGGGGGGGTTACCTTTGCACTGACCCTCAGTCGCCTTAATCTTCGTCCCCTAGAGTTCACGACCAACTCCAGAACTTGCCGGTCTTGCCACAGAGGGAAGGAAAGGACCTTTTTTGTCACCACTTGGTCCCCAACGTCTAGAACGGTGTAGGTGTTTAGAGTATCCCTGCCAAGGTCAGCAGAGCAGTAGGGGCGATGACGACGAATACTCAAATGTAGTCTCGGTAAGAGCTCTCAAGGAAACGTCCAGGTACTTTGAGGGCAAACAGCAGGAAAGTGGCCTGCCAACCAGATAAAACATCCCCAAGAAAATGACTTTCAGCTGAGCCAACAAGAGGTTTTGAAGCAAGGGCAACAGTGTACAAAGACCATGAGGTGGACTGAGAGGGCTCACTTTAGAGAGGAAGACACTTAACATGTAGCAGAGATCAGGAAGGAGAGATGAGAAGGAACTTTGTAGTGGCTAAGGCATTTGACTGCTAACCAAATGGTGGATGGTTCAAACTCACCAGCCTTTCTAGAAAGAAAGATGAGACAGTCAGCTTCGGTAAAGGTTTACAGCTTTGGAAACCCAACTGTGCTTGCTATGAGTCAGAATGGGAGCTCTGGTGGCATAGGACCTAAGGCACTTGACTGTTAACCAAAAGGTTGGGGGTTCAAACCCACCAGCCACTCACTCCTTGGAAGGAAGATTAGGCAATCCACTTCTGTAGTGATACTGCCTTGGAAACCCAAGGAGGGGTCATTATCAGTCTTAAGACAACTCAACGGCACATAACATGAGTCAGAATCAACAAAATGGCAGTGGGTTTTTTTGTTTGGGGGGGCAGGATCTAGGATGAGGACAGAGCTGAAACCCACAAAAGAGGAGGGATGAGGAGATGTGTCCAGTTTGAGGCATCCAGGAAAGCCATGGCCTCTGGGAGTTGGGCTGGATAGCAGGGAGTCTCCATGATGGTGGGTGGTACCCTTTTATGGCATCCTCATGGGTCGGGCAGGCTTCCAGAGCACCACCAGGAAGATAAAAGTAAGGTCATACTGAGTTGCACAGGTGAAGTACCAGAACACAAAGAGAGGCAAGTCCAGCTCCTTAGCTTGGTGGGAGAGTCAGAGCTGGCACCTGGTGGAGCACTCTGGTGCTGGGCCTCCTCTACGTGCCTGTGGATTTAGCCCCAGGCACAGGTTGGGACCCAAAGAACAGCTGGCAGTGAGCTTCAGAGAGCTTTCAGTATTCACATTTGAGGCATACACTTCATTAATCCTTTATTACAAGTCACGCTCTTATAGAAGTATATGTAGACTTACGTGAAAAAATCAAATGTATCCAAGAATAAAAAACACAGCACATAAAGTAGTATATGCATTCCAGTGTTTGCGCCAGACAGTGGGCGCCCAGGAAAAAGCTCTTCTAAAACGGCCTGGCTAGTGCCAGCCGGTGAGAACGTTCTGGGCGGCGCAGGCCGGCCCTCAGGCACAGTGGAAGGCCGCCTGCCTCGTCCGCGGCCTGGCGGCGGGGCAGCACCAGCTCCTGGGGCCTCCGGGCCAGCGGCGGACCCCAGGCTGCCCAGGCCCTGCACCGGGCAGAATCCTTTGGGCTGGGGCGGCTGCGCCTGTTTTTCTGGGGGCAGCAGCTACGACATCGTGGTCCGTGGCTTCAGGTACTGCCACAACATATCCTCAGAAGCCCTCACCTTAGTCAGCCTTTTTCAGGAAGATCTGGAAGAGTGAGGCTCAGGGTCAGCAGGGCTCAGAGTGCTGGCCTGGTCCAGCTATCATTTGCCGCACCCTGCCCACCTCACCTCACTCAGAATGACCCACACTGGTGAGTCTGTCTGGATGGAGAGGCGCAGTGCTTCCAGAGGGCCAAAGGCAGGGTCCACCTCACCCTCAGCCACACCCTTGTGGAAGGAGCCTAGGGGAGGGCATTGCTGAATGAGAGGTTGTCCCAGAGACCCCCAGCCTCCACGGGGCTTGTCTACTCAGTCCTGTCCCTCCCCGCAACTTACTGATCTGGAGGTAGCCATCAGGGCTCCGTGGGTACCGAAGAGTGGCTGAGCGGCCCTCCTGCAGGGCCTCCTTGTCTGATTGGGGGTTCTGGGGACAAAAGCAAGGGGCTGAAACACCATGGCTGGGGAAGGCTAGGCCTCAGTACACACCCACACCCACCCCCATCACACTCACATCAAAGGGCAGCACCTCCACAGAGGTGTTGAAGAGCTTGTCCTCTGGGTGCTCGATGTTCCCGCTGCGGAAGAAGAACCTGCACCAGACAGTCCTGTGAGCTGCTGCCTGGTGGGGCCCTGCCCAGGTGCACTGCCCATGGGCCCAAAAAGAAAACGCCAGGCCTGGGCCAAGAGGATAGTGGATGGAATCCAGGGTACAGGGGGAGGCTGGGCATTGCCACCAAGGCCTCACTTATAGAGACGATGATGGGGATTCATTACTGAGCTTCTATGGGCACTGTCACCCTTAGTTCTTACAAGGTAGCTCAGTTATGTATGAGCCCTACATGGAAACTGAGGTTCAGTAATTTGCTATAAGTCACGAAGGGGCACTTGTAGGCCCAGAAGTCTGTAGTGAGGCCTATACCCTGGGGGCTAGTGGCTACCCAGACCCCACCCCCAACAAGGGTGCTGGCACTGACCGCTCAAGACGTAGGGGCTGGAAGAAGCGGAAGCGGATGAAGTCCCCTGCAGCGGGTGTGAAGGCCCAGAAGAAATCCTCACGCAGGTAGGCCTTCTCCAGGGTGAAGTGCTGGTATGTCTTGAGGCTCGTGCTCACCTCTGCCGGTGGGTTGACGTGCTCCTTCCTCAGTGCCTGCTTCCCAAAGTCCTTGTCCTGCAGCCATGGAGGGACAGTGGCGCTAAGGGGCTGCAAGCCTAGGCCTGCCCCTCTGCTCCTCATGAGCTGCAGCTCTGCCTAGATTGGCCTGGTGGGCCCAGTGAGCATGTGGCTCAACACACCTTCAGTTTCTGAATCTTGCCCGCCAGTGAGGAGTGAGTGCCCACATGCTGGAAGAGGGATGGCTTGAAGCGGATCCGAAGGTTGGCCTTCTGCCGGTCACAGTGCTTCTGCGGAGGGAGGGCAATACCCTGGGGTCAGCATTGCCTCCCAGGACAGAGCTTCGCTTGGGAGGCAGCCAGGGGCCTTCTGCAGCAGGGTCACAAACGTAGTCCATTGGGGGCTACATGTTCCTGACCCCAGCCCCAGCTCACCGCATCTTTCTCAGGGTTGCAGACCTTCACCCAGAGAATATGGTCTAGGAGCCAATCGATGGGCTTGTCCCGGTAGAACATGAGGATGAACTCCACAATCAGGCTCAGGTCCAACGACTTGAACATCTTCCCTGAGTGTGGGGGTGGGGGGGGTAAGAGGGGCTGAGCGGGCAGAAGCTGTCCCGCCCTACTTCCTCTTTACCCCTGTGAGGGCCACTGGGGAGGGTCTCAGAACAAACCCAAGGGGACTGTCTGCCAGCCTCAGGCAGGTATGGGCACAGGAGTCAGGTGAAGTGATGAAGCTAGAAATCCCTGATGTAGGGGGTGGGGGATGTTAGGGTAGTGGGCACTCTAGGCAGGGTTTGAATCTGGGAAAAGATTGGCAATCCTTCCACAGCATGGTCACGGGGGCAAGGAGCATGATGACAGAGGCAGAGAGGCAGGCTTGTTGGAGCATGTGGTCAAGCGGGGTGGGGGACACACCGATGAAGCCAAGCTGGGAAAACTCCAGGATCATCCAGTCCTCTGAGGGCTGCTGAAGGGCAAAGTTCTTCATGGTACTCAGGTAGTTGGGCTTGGCTACAATGTCATCCTCCAGCTGCATAAGGCAGGAGGGAAATAGGGCTTACTGCTGAGATCTGGCTGGGACTCAGGATGGGCATGTGGGTGGACAGGGCTCAGCACTAAGACCCAACCAAGGTCCATGGGGACAGGAGGCAGAACACAGCAGGACCCACACCACCCCCAGGCAGAACAGGGTCTCAGTGCTGACCTGCACATAGTAGATGCCTTTGGACTGTGCGTACATCATGAGGAAGCAGTAATCGAGGTTCTGTTTGGTCCTCCACCTGTGGGCCAGGGGCAGGGGCCTCAGGGGCTCAGACCCACAGGATCCTTCCACCTCCAATGGGGCTACCACCACCTGGGCTACCAAGGGCTATAGGGAGGCCACCGACAGGGAGGGACCTGTTTCCATCATGCAGGGGACCAAGCACGG